GGGGGAGGGGCGGGGTCTTGAGCTTGCTTCGCTTGCCTTGGACGACCTTGCCCAAGAGCGACGTATGGTTCAATGGTACGGGGAAAACACTCCACACTTCTAGGCACGGCACGGTACCAGGTTTTTAAAAGCAAACGCCTGATCATATTATAGTGTGTTTCATGATGTAATAGGACAAGGTATCCAGAAAATCAACGCCCGGAAACAACGAAAGAAACGGTCTACTAGGCACACTTTGCCGAGAAGCATAGCCGCTCGCTCCACACTACCTGGTCGACCGTACGCTGGGGACTCCGCACGGGCTGGAACACGAATATCAATCCCAACCCTACCCGATACTTGTGGAAGCGCCACCAGCATTCGTTCTGCCTAAAATAGCTCGACCACACCTGACTGCGCCCAACACCTTGGGGGTAAAAAGCACGCTCGATTCGCATGGAGGAGCACCTTGAGGCATCGCAGGGGTTCCGCCGCGACAGGTTGACCCCCCCGCTCCTCGGTCCTCTCGAGGACGCGTGGCCAATGGTCCAACAAGTGATGCATCAAAACATGAGTGCGCCCAACCCTCCGTCCCAACGTTTTACGGTCAACTTGACCAGCTGATCATTTCCTTGTCTATTGCGGAGTACATGGTTGGTTGCTTTGTGGTTTTGTTGATTGTTTTCTATTGTTCACTTTGGGGGCCGCAATGGAGGGGCGGAGTTACCTCGTAGTAGAGAGTCTCTGGCCGCTGTCGTTTTATTCGGTGTCCCCACAGAGGTACCACCCAAGGGTCCTCCTTGCCGTAGATAAGAGCCATGGGCACCTGAATGCGGTCGATCATTTCCTCGAAGCTCATTGAAACCTGTAGGAGCGGGGCGCAGCGGTCAGCCGATACAACCACTCAACAAGACCAACAGGGACGATCTTGAACGACGACAACCATGCGTTGGCCCACAAAGTCAAAGCCAATGAACACCAGCAGAGCTACAAACACAGCGTTCATTGTTTGCAGGGTATCACAACTCGCAGGACGAGGGAAGCGAAGCATACTCGAAACGTGCGCGTTGCAGGAGATATCCACGGCCTCAGTCCAATATTTCGTAACTTGCGTCTTCCTAGTCCAAGATGTCTCAACCACTTGTTCTTCCTGTCAATGCTCGTGGTGGATAATTTAGTCTTGAGACCTACTCTACCGCAGCACGCCCGCCCGCTCGTTTTCCGTCTCTTATCCGGCCAACACTTGCCGCTACACGTGGAACCCCCAAGGTCGTTTTGTTGGGATGATGGAACGGGAACAATGAAGCCCACATCTTGCCGGTTTGAAGGAGGCAGGAGTTGTGAAGGCAGTGGGCATGCATCAAAACGTGCATCAGCATGTTTTGTTTTCTCTTGAGGTGACGAAAACAGTAAAAACCTCAGCCCCCACCTTCGGCGAAAACACGATGCTCGTAAACGCTTCGTGCCCACCCACGCCGTAATCATGGTTGCTTGGGCCTCGCTCTGTTGCTGCGATGATCTCCGACACCACCTCATCTCCGATGGCCTCTGATCTCCGAAGAATAAACAGTTTGAGCACATGTTGTGCGACCCCACAAGGGTTTTCGCACCAGGTCCCGTAGGCAACAGTAAAGCGCAGGGGGGCAAAGGGGCGTGACGAATCAGAAGACACGCCAGTGTGCACGACATCTGGGTGGTAGTGGCAACGGGGTCAGTGCAATGGGCTGAAGAGGGTTCAATGGGTATACTGTTGACCGGGCGCAACACACCTGTACCCGACATGCATACACGCAAAGACGTAAGAAGCATATGGAGCAGCTCAAGATGTTTTGCCAACTAAAAGTGTACAAGAGTGATGGAAGTCCATGGTTGAGGAGGACGCTCGCTTGGCGGCGCGAACTGTGAGGCGGTGAAAGGAGCGACGTCCAAGCGAGTCCGTTCGCTTGGTAGGCATGATATGAGCAAGGCTCTATCGCACGCAAGGTCGGTGGGTGCAAGCGGACGGTAAGGGCCGTAGGGTGCTCGTCAGCTCTAGACGCACACTACACATTTGTTTTTAGTCGACTGAAACTTTTCGTTGGCCCACCGGTTAGCGAGCGCGGTCGGTCGAGGCTAAAAAAACACACGCACACACACCCAACACGGTTGGCCCTGCGACCACAACACACATCACCAACAGCATGGTCGAAACTGATTTGAAAGCAACCAGCACGCACGAAACATCAACCGACGGAGCGAGGATGCCTCTCATCAACCGAGATCGCTAAATGCTTCCGTTTACCCGGGTTGTGGTAGACCGCGCCTAGCATGCTCTTTACGGTCCGAGGGTCCCTCATGCGGTCGAAGTACCACGCCCCGAAGCGGAACAAACCCGCCGGGGCGGGCAAAGTCCCGTCCCAGCCTAGCCAATCCCCACTTCCCTCTACCGGGGACTCTCCCTTTGTCGCGGGGTTTCCCGGAACAATCTCAGAATCCGTGAGGATCCCCGTACTCGTGGCGGATCCAGTCGAAACATCTCTGGTCGCGGAAAGATCCGTGGGGGGGTAGGGATCCGTAACGTCCCCTCCATTTGAGGCGGCGTTGGCGCTAGGCTTCCGAAACGCCCAAAAAGGTGTGGCATTCATGAGCGCCAGTCCTAGCACGGCGCGGGGGTAGTTCGCGGCGAGGTTGGCGGCGATGTATCCTCCCAGGGAGTTCCCGGCGACGTAGGCCGGTTCTCCAATTACTTCGTTGATGAAAGCAAGGACCTTTATTGACGTTCGCAATCCGAATGCAGGTCCGGGGTGTGCGAGAAACTGATTCCTTAGTCAGTATTGGCCGCGGTAACCCAGGTCCGCTGAAAACACAGCGGAGGGGGGGGGGTGTACTTGCAAGGTAATCGAACACGCCATTTTTCTGAGGCGATCGCTCCCGAAAAACGGGACAAGGCGAACAAGACAAGGTGAGGCAGGTGTGGGAGTTCAAGTTCGTCTACGACATGTTCGTACAGTGCAAGGTCCCATCCACTCGCAATGGTATCACCGTGAGCAAACCGGCGCAAACACCCTCCGTGCCGAAGCACGGCATGCACTTCTTCCTTCGTTGCACTGGAGTGCCGTAGGTGACATAAGATAGCACACCCCCTGGACCAATCTTCAACGTTCGATCACTCCACAGCACAGACAGGAGCGGTGCCGACAACGGCGGCGTTGGAACCGCCTCGTCGAGAAATCTCTGATAAATGTATCGTTGGAGCAAGCAAGCTTTGAAAAATGGTAATGGGGATGTTGTACTTGTGTCACCTACAGCAGGTCTCCAACACAATTACTCGATATTGGCTGGGAGGAAAACGCTCTGAGATCTACTTTGAATCCAGCTTGCAACAGACCGTACGGGGGCCGCTTTGTCAACAAACGGCGAACCTGCTGTGTCCACATGTCGACGCTGTAGCACAGGCCGTCCTCTCGAGATGGGGCACGGGTGGGCCAGCTGTTCCCCTGTCCGAGAAAGTCAATCGAGTACACGTCGCGCGTCTCGGACAGCTACAGCCACGAGTTGTAGCGGCCGCGGGTTTCCCCGATTGACAGCAGAGAGCGGGGGCAGGGCAGGCAATCGTAACCATACGTAGCAAACAAACCAACCGAAGGGGTGTACTCATAGCCGTGCATGCCGTAGTCGTTAGACCATTGACCTTGCATCCCTACAAAGCCGGGACGGAGCACGCCGGGTTCTCACCGGACCAGGCTCTCACATCACCAAGCGCGAAGCGCCGTGAGATATTCGGCGAGTCGCATGAAGGGTGCGCTGCATCCTGCTAAGGGCGTTCGGCATCTCGTGCTTACTTCCTTGCGTACAGATGACAGCTGCGCATGACTTACTGTATTTTCTGGTGCTTTCACTTCCTGAGACAGTTATAAGCACTGTGTAACTGCCTCGAGGGTGCTTGACCATTTTAACACAACGTGGTGCGATCATCCCCCTTGCGCGGAGTGAGGGTTCTCTACCCCGCACAACATGATCCACTCGACCACCATTATGGTTACCGCCAAAAAAAAGAAACGGAGGTAAAAAAAAGAGGTAACCTGGTTGCCGAGTTCACGAAGTGAATTGGCTTGTTTTACAACGTCGTTGCCAAGCGACGAAAACCCAATCCCGATGGCAAACACCGGGGGGGGGGAGGGGAGCCAATTTGTAGGCCATAACCATTGATACCTTGATAGAAAACGTCTGTAGAGAGAACGACGCTTCGCGGCACACCTACTCTGACTTCGCCCACGTACCTCTTGCATGTTCCTCCTGAAGTGAAATGTCCCCACGCCGAAGCCTGGGAGCAGGAGAAGAGGCGTCGTTGAACCCTCCCGTCGGCGTTGCCCCCCACCTTCCCGTTTCCGGTCCCCGGCCGCCGGCCGCCTGCTGGTTGCGCGCTCGTAATGGATTTCCCATCCGTTCCGCCAGTGCCAAACCCCGCTCCTCTATCCGGATTCAAACGTTTGGAACGGGTTTCGATCAGCCAACTTTCCCATGTCGCACATCATCAACGCATACGATCCATGCGAGAGGTACCAGCTCAACACCATCTAAGACTGGCTCGACGTTTCTTTTTTACGGTTCGAACATGTAGCGGAAACACCCTGCATCACCACCATGAGCGTTGCCATAATGGTTTCCATGGTTCGGACATGTAGCCGAAACACCCTGCATCACGAACTTCGCACGTTGCCATAATGGGTTCCACTGATCAGGATCGGTTTCCTGTGTTCCTGTTGAGGAGGTTTCGATGGGGACACGGCGGTATTACGGGCTGCAGGCTTTTCCCAAGCGGGTATTGACTCGAGCAAGAGCTGGGAAGGGAGGCGGTATTTACTGTACACCATTGTTGTGGTCGGCTTCCGCAAGTTCGGGATGTCAAAAGTGTGCCGAACACGTGGCGGCTTGCGGGTTCCACATGCGCCAACGAGTGGCCCAATTCTGTCGGTGCTGCATCATAAAACATTTCACAACACCCTGCGGCCTCGTCTGTTCTATCAACTTTTATGCTATCCTCTTTCGATGTTTCTCACTCTGCGCCCACTCGGTGACGAACTGTCAAACAAGTGCAGAAAAAAATGCAAGCTGCCGGGACTGACGTCATGCATATTAGGCAGGGCATATAGGAACCGCAGGAGGGGGTCCAACCCCCCCCTCCTACGTGACCCCGGTTGGTTCGTCTAGCTGGTAGAAGTGGAGGATAGGGGCCAGAGGGGCCGACGACAGAGTCCAATGATGGGAGACAAAAAAAAAAAGGGTGCAGCGACGAACTCAGCCTGCCAGAAAGCAGGCCAGGGAACTGTCTCTACTGCAGGGGCATGCAACTGGGTGTGGTCGGGATTGTTGCGTGCCAAGTGAAGGAGGCTGAAAAGGCCACAGGTATCACCGGATGTGGTGATCATCAGGCCAGGGAAGTGTCTCTACCGCAGGGGCATGCAACTGCGTGTGGTCGGGATTGTTGCGTGCAAAGGGAAGGAGGCTGAAAAGGCCACAGGTATCGCCGGCTGCGATGATTATCATGTGCGCAAAAAGTGCAAATACATGTAGACTACATGTGCAGAGTCCCAGCAGCCAAGAGGAGAGCTGTCGGCACCTACCGGAGCACTTGTTTCATCCCCATCTGCTATGGTGGAGCTACCGCCCGTTGATGGATCCCCGGCTGAGGTAGTGGACGAAAGGCGTCTGGCAGTCGAAGACCATGCGCCAGGTTGAAGAAATGCGGTGTAACCTCGAGGATCAGGAGGATGATAATTTGAAATTTGAAACCCCTTCACAGAGACACACGTCCAGCAACAGCCGAGATAGATGGCAAACCCGACCATTGCCATCGCGTTCCTCCTCAAGGACTTCAGTCTGAAACCTTGCTTGTACGTTGGCGCCATCACTCTCCTTACTATGGGCAAGGCAAGGGAAGACACCCGAATCATGTATCGCTTTGCATTTGGGGGCTCCGTCAATCCTCTCAGGGGCTCCGTGGAAGGTGCTGTATGAACTGCTGTTAGCAGACACGCAGGCGTTCTGATCACAGCACCCGCTGCCCAGGGCACCAGCAGCGGTGTTCGGCTTGTCCACTGCTTCTCCTGCCGCGGTGCCGATCCGATCAGCAATACACACAGCAACATCAAAGGCAGAACAGAGATGACCCCAGTCGCGAACCGGCATGATGATTATTGTTCCACGCAACTTCACGGTGCTGGACTTGAGGGTTCGTTCCATCGAGCGTACGCTAGCCGTGCTATTATCGCAACATCGATCAAGGCAATGCTGAAGGCTTCACTCCGTTCATGATGGCCTCTATGATGGGTGTTGAGAAGCACGATGACCACTACTGGTAGACTTCTAGTCAGCGCTGACTAGCAGTCTAGTGGCCATCGTGCTTCTCAACAAAAGTTAATAATGCCCGTGTACGGTCAAGCTGTTAAGCCACGAACACCCCCCCCCAGAGTTGCCATCCCTGTAATCAGCGCTGTGCTTGCCAGATCGATACAAGCAGGTCATCGGCTCATTTTGCGAAGCCAGATTCCATAGGGTTTTCATTCCCATGTAGACTACTAGTCAGCTTCTCCCCAACAGCATAAAATTCTTTGCGCCCGACGTGTGGGAAAAATGCCTAGAATGAAACCGGCTTCGCAAAATGAGCCGATGACCTGTTTGTATTGATCCGGCAAGCACAGCGCTGACTACAGGGATGGCACCCCTGGGGGTGTGTGTTCGTGGCTTGACAGCATGACCGGACACGGGCATTAACTTTTGTTGACAAGCACGAAGACCACTAGATTACTAGTCAGCGCGACCAGTAGTCTAGTCTAGTGGTCACCTTACTTCTCAACAACGGGTCACTCGCCCATTGTGAAGACCTTGCTCCAAAAGGGGGCCAACGTGTCAAGCGTGGCTAACCCCGGCATCACGGCTCTGCACATTGGTTGTGCTCAAGAGGGACCCGTCGCCGTTGTTGAGTTGTTGATTGGGGCTGGTGCCGACGTCGAGGCGGCATCGGAAGGCTAGACACACTTCACGGGGCTACAGAAAAAGGGAGCCCTGACGCGGTGAGAGCGTTGGTCGAAGCAGGCGCGAATCCCGACCATCGAACGCCAATCGGCGTGACACCGCTGCATATCGCGGCTAGGATTGGACGCTTTGATACGTTGAGGGAGCTGCTTCATTTGAAGGCGAATCCGTTAACAGAGTTTGAGCCACCCCCATTAGGGTGCGGTTCCGCCCCACTGGACATAATACCTTGCTGCCCAAAATGGGCACTCGAACATTGTGCGCAGCAAACTAGTTCATTCAGCAACTTGGGATTGGCGGTTGTGATCCAAAAAACGGAGGTGAACCAGCTCTCCACGTTGCCGCGTCGGATCAGCACGTGGGCATCATGGCTATCCTGACTGGAGCCGGCGAGGTCGACACGACGGGGTTAGCTCTCCTTGGTGCCGCCGGGCATGGCCATGAGGTGTCCGTCAAGTTTCTCTTGCGGCAGAAGCACAAGGAGAGTAAAGGTAGCTTTGAAGATGTGCACGTCAACGCCCGCAGAATGAAGACTACACGCCCCTGGTTTTCAGTATTCACTTGTGCTTCTCGCAAGCTCCAAGGATCGCGCGGTTGCTCGCAGACGCTGGAGTAGATATGACATCGGCCGTTCAAGTCATCAACCCGATGGGAGAGCTGATATTCAACGGCACTCCTCTGGCTTTCACAACGTCACGCCTCCGCGGGAAGATAGCGAACGGCCAACCCGCTACGGAGGAGCACCTGCACACGCTGGAGGCCATCCGTCGCTTGCTGTTGCGAGTCGAGGCAGTGCATGCGGTGTCTTGGCTATGATCAAGCGATGCTCCCTTCATCTGCCATGCAGCAGAGAGTTCCCGTGGTCCCGAGCCGAATTCCCCGGCGCTCAGGGTCATGTTGCCGATCCTGAAGCGACGGACAAAGAGGCGCGGTGTGCTTGCGGCAAAGGTGTTGAGGTGAGCAGAGAAATTGTCATTGACCGCATGACATAAAGCGTTGTGTAGACGGAGCTTATTTCGGGTATGGGTGTGTTTTTTCAGCTGTAGGGATTTGCACTGAGGCCGGCCCTACCCCTAGACTAGACCTCAGAAGACGGTAGGACCTCGTGAATCGCGATCAGGCAGCGTCCGCAAACGTTGTTGGGGGCAAGTATATTTACGTAATGGTGTCACATGTTCTCAACCGGGGCACGGATCTGTATTTTTGGCAAGTCCATGAGTCGTTTGCCTGCTGGTCTACCGTTGCTACCACTTGCTTGCGTCGTTCCACCTAATTCACAGTTCGACCATATTTTGGGTCAAGCCATCCGCTTTGGAGCTGCGTCATTCTGAAAAGTACAAACAATCCGCCCGCCTTGGCTGGACGGGTGTTGATATTAGCCGGTGCTCAGCAGAACTACTGCCACGCTGCACTCGCTCCCACTGCAAGTTTTTGGGTGTTCCATCCCACCGTTCATCACAGTCACGTGCTTACTTGCAAGTATTCGGTTAAGGCGTGACCAGGATGAATAAGCGGGGAGAGCCAGATCGCGGAATTTGCCGTCCTCTCTCTTCCGTGAGAGAGAAAAGTGGCCGTAACCATCTGTCAGAGTTCTCGCGCGTTTGTGTGAAGAACGTGTTCCGCGTATTCTAGACGATCTCGCACGCGCATTGCATCATGCCGCCGCTGTTGATACGAACATTCTGTTCAATCAACCACATGGTAGAAGGGGGACAAAAGCTGAATAGCTCTGATCACTGCTGTCCTGCCCTTGGGTGTGTTGAGCGATTTACAGTATAGCTTTAAGAAACGTCAGTTCGGGGCTCAATTTCTTGTTTCGTCACCAACGTCGAGCATAGTCTAGGGTATTGGTAGAATTTAGTGTACGATCCACGGTGGAGGTGTGTTTCTTGGTCGATTTTTCTTGTTTATCGCCAAAATCTGAGCCTTACACTATGGGAGTAGTCCTTCAATACGGTTTGCTTCTTAAGTCACGGGCGTTGACTACTGTATGCCGCCGTCGTACCAACGCTGGCACCCGGCGAGAATAAATTATGTGTGGTCATGATGCGGTCATGACGCCCACATGCTAATGCCGGCGGCCAGGTGGGAGAGAGCCAATATTGTGGCACTCTGTACCACCACGTTCCAGGTGCCCGGTTCCCACCACCGAAATAGGGTTCCATCGGGACGACATTCTCTGTCGCGATGGGTCCACTTGGTCAACGATACATTAGTCGAATTAAGTTGGCCGAACTATAGTAGCTCGCTGGCGGCATCGACGCGGAACTGGTGGTCCCTGCGAGCTCAGCACCGGCCTTCACCAGCATCCATCTATACATGTTTTGATGTATCGTGCTTTCGGGCAGCAATCGTTGTGAGGCAGCAATTGTCGCACGGTAAAACCGACATCTTTGACATCTCGCTTTTCGTTCGCTCAGCAGGACCTTTGGTCGTCAGGATCCTGACGACCCGCGATCACGGCCAGAGTCCAGTGACCTGAACTGTTTTTGCAAGGAAACGAGAAAAACGTTTCTTATGTGTATCAACCGTTGGTCGACCCTCAATTGGCTTCGTTCGGTGGAATCATTAGGTGTGACATGTGTTCGGCAGCTCATTCGAAGGGCCGTGATGCCAAATGTGGGGATGGATAGGTATCCAAGGCTTCCTTTGTCCGTAACGACGAGGAGGAAGATAGGGGCATCGACAAGAAACAGTCGCACCGATCGCGCCCGATCTTGGCAGCCTCGAAAAAATCTAAATCCAAGAATTTGGTCGCGAGAGAAGGCGCTCAGTATCGACGTGGTACCTAGAACACGAACGGCACCTTTGCGAGAGGGGAGCACCGCAGAGCAGGGGGGGGGGTCCTACCGTCGCAGAGCTGCGGGAAGGTCGGCCCAATCACAGTGTCGAGAGAGGAGGGCACGAACTCCCAACGGCACATCGTGGGACCACTAGACTACGGAAGAGTTTTGATTTATTGATAGGCGACGCCGCGTTTGCATCTCTACACCACTGATGTTTGGTGATCACGGATGCCGCGGCAGACGTGTGATGGCGGTGCGTTGGATCCAGACGTCTTCTTCAACAATGTTTTTCCTGCATTGTTTTTCTGTTGGCACCCTGCTCTCAGAGTCAAATTGACATCCACCCAGAAAAATACAGCTGGAAAGAGAGACCCGTCTCCGCGGTATGGGGCCCTCGGCGTAGTAAGAACAATAACCGCTCATTTGCCCCATTGAGGCGGATGCTTGTTCGAATAAGAATGTGCGAAACACCTAGAAATAACAACATGCTGGCGCCATCCGTAGGGGAAACAGGCAACAGGCAGGGAAAAGGACGACGTAGGGGGGGACGTATGTACTCATTGGCTGCCGCACGCCCCATGCCCTACAGTCTCTCATGATGTGATGAAATCATGATATATGAGATGCCAGCACGAAACAACACATACATGTGGTCGCCGAGGTAAACAAAATTGTGGTCAAAAACTAGCCCATCTCCTGAAATCCGTAAGCTAGCTCACCGCAACCGCCGTGGCGAAAAATAACGGACATGCACCTGTGCGTCAATTCTAGAGGCCCCTTGCCGACCTTCAACACGTCTGTCATTCATTCCGTGCGAACCACCGAAACACGCCCGCGTGCCGCCGAATCGAAGGCCGACAAAAATGTCACAGAAACGTGACCACCAAGTAACCGGAAAAAGCACGTGGCCAGGCAAGGGTGCACGCAGGTACGGAGGCGTACAACAGCCTTCCAAGGCAGGCGTAACAACAAGGTCCTACGGCTTTTTCTACCAAGAGAGTGAGGAGAATTTTACCCATAGCTGCGGGCAGAGGCACCCGCTAGTTATACTCCTACAGAGTGACCAAAGTGCACGCGGAACAGACAGTGGAGTAACAAGGAACAACAACAGCAACAGCAACGAAGACAACATAAATATATGCAATCGGGTGAACAACTATATCTTGAGGAATCCACGGATTCCCTCCGAAGTGGGCTCATGAGAGCACAGCAGTGTCATGAAAAAGGGGTCATGCAAGAAACAAATAGAAGAAGTTGGTCGTCAACCATGCGTCGTGGCCCCCCATGTTTGAGAGGAAGTTAGCAAAATGACGAGGCTTATGCGTCTCGCTCCCATGCACCGGCTGCCACACATTGGCCGAAGCCGCCTTTTCCGTTCTCTTTGGGGGGGGCAGCCTTTCCCCATGCGCTAACCGGGGCTACTGCGTCATCAGTACTTGAAGGACCCCGGCGGGCCTGTCAGACGGCGAAAGAATGGGGGGGGAGGGGGCAGAGTGCGCATGTGTGGGGAGGCTGGCGGGGCAAACTCATTTGCAGCTGGACTTGAGTACACAAGAGTACAAGTGGGGCAGTGCTTTTTGTGAGAGAGCATTTACTCAAGAGAATGTGTACCAGAGGCAAATACCACGTGCGAAACTAGAGTACGAGTAGCGCAGCGCCTGCAAGAGAGCGTGCACCAGAGTCGTGCAGATGCTAGCTGTGCCATGACGGGTTTCTTTTTTTCCGACGCACTCGTAACTACCACGGGTATGGCTGCCGCAACGTTACTTGATGACGAAGTACAGTTCACCTCTGAGTCCAGAGCGACGACGTGCATGTATCTGACTATTTCCATGCCGTGGCTACCAGCTCGCTAAGTCACACATCGAACACCATATATTTAACGCCTTCTAACTCCACCAAAGCGACTGTGGCGCCAAGGGTTGGGGTGGGGGTGGGGATGCAGATATCGGCATTGCTGTACAACGACAACGCGTGAGACTGTCCCCCGGAGAGTCGCCGTTTGGTCTCACAAGCAAGGAGGTGGAGAACAGGGAGTGCCCCTACGTCATACAGTGTTCATTTCTGCGGCCGAACTTCACGACGCTCGTCTTTAATCCTGATACGCGCCCCCCACATTTGGGAAAGTAGGAAGGAACGATTGGCCATGTGGTCTGTCTTGTGGGAACAATGCTCCGTCCTCTCGTGGACGCGTGGTCAATGGTCTTAACCTCTAAGGTATGCAAACCATAAGAGTACGCTCCCCCCCTACCCTAGCTCTCCCATATGCAGAGCCTCCCGTCCTCTCACCCGCACTGTTCTCCGGTGTCGCACGTAGACCGAACCCGCAATAAACACCACGATAAACACCGCGAAGCATATCCATGCGATCTGCTTCGTTTGATCGACTTGGGCCGACACAGGTACCTGTCGGACGAGCCAGGGAAAATGTTGAGGCGGAGGGTTGCGATAGGTCTGTCCTCCATCGGCCGTTTTATTTTCGATTTAGATACACAAACTTTATTTCTATACTAATTTCAAGTAATTCCACCTTCTTATTCTGCGTCATACAAGCAAAACGGCCGATGGAGGACAGGCCTAGGTTGCGATAGGGTATCGCGGGAGACACATTGAGTGGAGCACACGGAGCGGGCGTTGCGAAGTGGGATTGTGAACCTTGAGACACGCACACCTACCTGCACACGCGTGATGAGGCCAAGACACGCAGCCAAGACTTGACGGTTCAAGCGCCCGGAACTCGCGCCACGCGCACACGAAAGAAAATGACAGATCGATGCTCGGCATGATTGTAAAACGCGAAAGTAGCCAACAAGTTGAACACCAGGAGTAGTAGGTCCCGGCATGTACCATCCAGAACCAAATATCCAAATTCACTTCCTTGCAATGTTTGCGACACCTTGCACCGACAACCAAGACCTACGGCAGGCTCGCGCACGAGCCGAGATGCCTGCCAAGCGCTACGTCGGTCGACGAACAGCGGTGCTTTATCTCATTCCACGTGGGTTCAAAGTGCAGTCTTGGCGAAAGGGAGGACATGGAACATCCTGAACATTCTCTGTCGGGGTGTCAAAGTGTGTTACACCGTTTGCTCACCAACAAGCCCAGAAGAAGAGCTATCAGCAAGCCCCCCAACATGGCCAACGATACCCGTCACTGGCGCGGTTGTTCCAGGCTGCGGAGGTACGTCAAGTAGAGGGGGACGGGGATAAGAGATCAAGCCACCATTGCGTCAGAATGTTTTCCTCTTTACTGCATAACCAGTTTAAAAGACACGGCGTGTTATCAAGTGACGGGTCAATAACGGGCTCTCGCTCTCTTTGATCCGTTGATACTGGCGAGGTTTTCTGGGCCAGAACCTAGTCGTGTAAACACTGGTGTCCCCGTTTGATGACAACCGCAACCAGGGGGACAATGCACTTACAACACACCAACAACATAACCCCTCAAGCTTAAAGGGGTGCTGCAATACCAATCGGCGGGCGGCGGCCTGGAACGGCTTGAGAAAGGCTTCAGTGCACGCCAGTTTACCGCAACATAAGAGCGTCTCCGTGGGGTTCGCCCTGCGACGATAGTTGTTGACGTTGCAGTCCCACAAAAAAAACGATCCGTTGTTTGCTCAATACCTTCTACCATCCGTCCTGGCCGACTTGACGCGGACGTGATCCGTGGTCACAGCCTGAGCACCCCGGGAGGGTACATCACGGACTTTCTACATGGAAAACAATTGGAAGCAGTATATATCAACACATGACGCGATATCAATGAAATAAACCAAAAGTAAGAAGGCTCCGACAGTATGCATACCATCCCATTCATCCTGGACGTCGGGTTTTACACCTGTCGGTATGTTGTTGGCCGCACCACCCGGGGTTTCACGGGATGAAGGCCTTACGGCACACTTAGCGTTTCTGCAACATCCGCGTTCATGTTACTCTTTCAGTGCTTGTGGCTATTCTGTACCACTCTTTTCTTGTCGCGACAAGGATTCAGCCTGTTCGTGTGTGTGTGATTGTTTGTTCTCTCTCTTCCATCTTGTCTCGGGAGTCTTGCTCTCTTCTGCTGTCCTTCCAATACCGTAATTCAGGAGTCCATTCAAAATACGCAAGGGGATACATACACGAACACCCCGTTTTGATAGGAGTGGTACCGATGTTGGCGCTGATTCCACCTATGTCATCCGTGAGCAAGAGAGGAACCGCAAGAGGGGACATGCATGGTGTCAAACTCGGTCCTGCCGGACTCCCCCTCCTTCTCTCCCCTTCTTAAGGTGGCTCGCCCTTTCCTAAGGCGGCTCGCAGCAGGTCCGGCAGCTGCTGAAGTTGGCTCGAGAGGCCATAAACTTTGCCACCCAGCTCGTTGACCCTGTCTTGCTACTCAACGAGCTGGAGGGTAAAGTGTCAGGCCTCTCGAGCCAACTTCAGCACCTGTTGGACCTGCTGCGAGCCCTCTTGGGAGAGGGAGACAAGGAGGGGGAGTCCGACGGCGCTAGAGTGGGCGGTAGGCGCTACACCCGCCCGCGGTCTAATGGAATAGGGACCGCAGAACGAGATTCACGCCGTCCGCAAAACAGCAAGAGTAAGGAAATACCACACCGGGGGCCAGCTCGGTAGTGCCAACGATCTCTACTGGAGTAAATAAACCCAGACAAATTCAGGGTCTGGCAGCGGGGACGTCAGGGGGTCATTCTCCCAGTTGTGATACCGCAATGCGTGGTGGTGGTGGTCTTGGTGGTGGTCTCAGAGCAGCAGGAGACGCTTTTGTCCACAACCCATAGTACAACAGTAGCGGTGTGCCAGAAACAGCAATGCTGCCTTTTGAAGGGGAACAACGCAACTGTGGGTACTAATCACATGGAGAGGACCGGAACCTCCAGGCTGCGAAAAAAAAAACCCGTCTACTACTGTAGACGGTCGAATGGCAGGGGGCACAGAAAACCATGCACCGGTTGGGACGTGGGAAAACCGAAAGCGTTTGTACTGGCAGACGCCTGATCCCCTCTTTTGCACTCGAGGTAGAGCGGTGTACGTTCGGTGTAGTGTTTAGCCCGGCCGCTCCATCGGGGCAGGGGGCTCGATGCATACCGACGGCATGATTTAGCTGTGTTTTTCGTCATATACATCCCAGGTGAACACATGCCCAGCCTACCGGCGGGACCGCGAGCAAACACGTGCATGCCCAACAGGGAATGGGGGCGCTCCGTTAGCACAAAAAAACGTCTCCGTCAACTACGATACGGCAAAATAAGGACCACGTTCGCGAGGATTCTACATCTACTCTATAAAATAAGAGCCCAGGGGTTCGTATCGCAAACACTAACCCCAACCCCACCGTACCGCCTACTAAAACCAAGCCTACTTGTCGTCGCGAAGGCTATCGGAAAATGAACACCAAGCACCGATGTGGGGAAAATATTTAGTGCGTACCAGGGCATACAAATACACTCGACGGCCAGTGGACCATCTCACAATGGCGAGTGGGCTTGAATCGAACCGCAACAGCTGGGGTCACGCTCCCAATGCCCACAAACACTGAAAACCATCAGACGTCGTTCCTGCCGCTATCCGCTATGTCCAATCCGCGAACTTCTCGGTCGAAGATGCGTGCGGATGGAACTGCTGTGTACTTCGATGTATATGGTAGTACGTCGAGGTGTTCCCATGATATTTTACACCACTAGCAAACGAAAACATACAGCTTATGTCATCACGTACAAGACCGATGTGTTACGTCATCGCAGGCGTAGCAGGCGCGTCTCACCAACAGAAGCGCTTGAGCGGACGTGGCAACCCCCGCTACTGTTTACACCGCTGCTGTTCTGTGGTTCAACATTTGAATGAAAAAGCAAGCAGACTCAGGGCAAGCATTACAGGTGAGAATCGGAGTCCGGTAGGAGCTGTACGCCGTTGTGTGGTTTCCTTAAGTACCGGTGGGACCTCTCGCGGTCATAACTCTGCGATGACGGGAGGGTGAACCGACAGGATATTTAGAATTCTAATTCTGTCACCTGTGACCATCGTGATCGTGGTGTGCGATGACTTCCAAAGTGTTCACTCTTAAATGTACTTGCTTTACTGTTGCTGTTGTGGCCTTGCTTCAGCTCACCCAATACCTGCGCCCAATGTTGTTGCCTTCACTGCCGCCTCTGGCATTCCTGGACAAGATGAACTCTGCTAGCCCCTGGTCGTGCGTCGCTCAGCTGCTGTGCTGCGGGGGCGGTGGTTTGCTGCGCTAGGTTGCACGCAAGTGCGTGCAGAGCACAGAGTACAGGCCGAGGCATGAGTTCCCTGTTCCGCCGCTTCCCCAATTCCAGACCTCATCGCGGCGGCGTAAATCCACCAGTGCTTGCGCACAGAATTTCTGTGCAAGCGGTGAAAAAGTGAAAACGCCTCCAGAACTACTTACAGACCCATTTTGAAATTTGTCCAGCGCACACACGAACAGAGCACCAACCGGCAGCGATCTCTTGAGCGCTGCTTACCCTGTCGGACTCACACGAGCCTCTCCGTGCAAGACCGTGCAAGACTGCAGGATGGAGGCTGATTCCTCTGCGGCTTTCGCTGCTGCTCCCCCTCCTGCTGCGGTTAGAGCAGCAGCAGCTCCTGCTGGATCCTCGGCCGATGAAGGTACACACATAGTCTACATATCATTGATAATGCAGCACCGCCGTAGCGGTGGCCGTAAGGTGTGACACTTAAGGTGTGAGGCTGCACGAGACTTAGTCTTGAAGCGTGGGGCGTGGAGGTGTCCTTGTTGTGTTGTTTTCTGTGCGCTTTGTGTTGTTTCTGTGCGCTTTGTTCTCGAGTGCGCGTGAGTTCTCCGTCAATTTTTAAAAATGACCTGTGGCAGAGTTTTGCAGGAGTTGTCTCTCACCTCTCACACCTCAACACACCTCGTAGAACTTTTCATCCACCACCTTGGGCTTTTCCTCTCTCGTGGCGAGGTTTCTCTCTTAGATTTCTCTTAGATTTCTCTTAGATTGTACGTGTCTTTCAAAATCCTTGTCCACAAAGGAAGCCCACAGCAGCAGCAGCAGCAGCAGCGGTCGCCGCCGTCTTGTTGAACGTCCTAACGTACACGCCGGCTGCCATTTTATCTTCATGTGAAATCAATTATATGCTGCACTCCCTCACCTCTTCCTCTCCCCCCTACTATTGCTCGCAAAAATCACGATCTTCGCAAATGCTCCCTCCTGGGTACGTCTGTGCCGGTAGGAAAAGACAGCGGCGCGGTCGTGATGGAATTGAAGGAACGAGACGGAAAGGAAGACGGACCCCGAAAACTCCGAAGGGTGAGAACTTGCATTATGAGTTAGCTGGAACAGCAGTTTGTCGGATGCAACACTGCGCCATACGTGTTTGATAACATACATATGTACGAACGCGAAAGTAGAACCAACCGTGTACCTCCCGTGCCATCATACCACTAGCTATGTGTGAGGCGTTGTGTGGCTGCGTAAATGGGGGCATGCACAAAGACGTGTGGAACACATTCGGGAGTGCGCCGTATTTTCCCGCTCGCTATGCTGTAAGAGTGATGAAGTCATGGAGAGAACACCCGTTGGAGAACAAGGCGGTCTATATTTATATTTCCCAAAACACCACAGCAGCAAAACAGATCTGTCCCCCTGAGCACGTTGATCAGTGCCGCAGCGCTTCGTGTTTGCGCTGTGAACTTTTTGCAGGCAAGCAACGACGCCCACCGGCAACCGGGGGAGTCTGTGGCGTCGCATGTGCTCGGCATCACCGACGTGGGGCGGGTGGTCGTAGGCTTCGCGGGGAAGCAGTTCATGTTTCTTGGCCTTGTTGCCAATGAGGGTGGCGCTTGGGGAGGAAAGGAACACGAAATGCTCGGAAATCGTATGTTCCGTCCCGCGCACATTGGAGGCATGCACCACTGGTTGGATGCCAAGTCACCAAGCTTTGAAGAAGGCTGCTGCCGTAGGCTCACTGGAAGTGCTGATGATTTTCCAGTTTCTCGGTGTTTGCTGGTGCGAGGGCATGTTTGCAGCCGCTGTTGCAAACAAGCAGGACGATCGTGTGTTGGTCTGGTTGATGAAACAGGAGTGCCCCTTGGACGGTATGGGATTGAAGGCCTTGGAGCTAGCCATAGAAGCAGATTCGGTGGAGCTCCTCCAGAGATGTTTTCTTGAAGACGTTGATTTTGCGGACAGGGGTAAGGCGGACGACGTGGCGGGGCCGCGCCTGAAATCTGCGCTGGAGGGGAGGGAGGCGGAAAAGGTAGGGCCTCTGTCGCGGTTTATGACGGTGCAATACCAATGGTTGGACCGACGTTGCGAGGAATTCGCAGGCTCAGGTGACATGGTGATGTTGAGAGCCTTGGAGGAGTATGTGTGCGGAGATGACAACACCTGTCCTGTGCGGCACAATATTACGTGCTGCAGAGGAAGGCCAGTTTGAAGTGGCGGCGGAGTGTTTGACTTGGTACTGGGAACAATGGGGGTATGAAGGTGGTAGTCGCATCGTCCCGAATAATGTCCTTTACCACGTGGCGAAGTGCGGAAGTTTGGGAATGCTGCAGTGGTGCCGCGAGCACTGTGGTGTTGTCAGTGTAGACTTCTGCGCTGATTGCGTTGACGTCGAGGGGTGGGAGCGTGTCGTGCAACATGCTGCGGGGGCTGGGCACGTGGGCATGGTCGTGTGGTGCCTCGAGAACGGGTGGGAATACACTGACGACATGCTGCAAGAGGCTGCTAATAAAGGACGTTGGCATGTTGTGAAGGTGTTGGAGGACAGGGTGTTGGAGGAGAGGGGGTTCGTCGTGAAGGTTGTGGGAGGCGCTCAAGTGAACGACGAGCGAGACGTATTTTGGGAGAATCTACCTGTTTGTGACTGCTGGTGAGCGAAATGTCTTTGGGTTCGGGAGGGGGTTGGCACGGCGTGCGTTGTTCCGGTGGCGGTGCTTGTGCTTCGCTGTTGCTGTCGGAAGGCGGACGAGAAAAAGGTCGAACTCGCAGGGGGTCATTGGGCCTAGTGGGGACAGTCGGTTGGTTGGGGTGACTGTCCATGACGTTTGTATTTAGTTGTTTTAGTTTCGCACGCTAGCTCTAAACTACAGTTTCAAAACAATCCGTGGGAGCCGAAAAGACATGAAGCACAAACATGGTCGGTACACACGCGGTCCTACGCTGCCCCCGGGAGCGGGAGGGTGCTTGCTTGTGGTACTTGCGTCTCGCCGACGCCTGCAAGAAAAAAACTACGTTACACAACCGGTAGATACGAGGGTTCCGCCCCATGAGTACGCTCTTCCCCCCTTATCCCTCACAGCCGGGTGTGGGGTTCGAAGCGAGCCGTCCTGCCCAAATGGTGATCTGATCTCTATCGTAAGCGAAAAAATCCGACTACAGGTTCTCTGTACCCGTACCACCCACGAAAAAACCGCGAACGGTCGCAACGCCTACACCGCTCTTTTGAGAGCTCTTCTTCGGATCTCTTCTCCACGTCGACTTGCCCGCGGGCGAAGAACTTGATGCTCTCTATTGCGCGGTTGATGCCCGCCAGACTGTGGATCTCTTTGAACATACCACCCAACTCCTTGCCCAGGGCAACGCCGTTCGCGTACGCGTATGATGGCACGTTAGGGCCGGAGCGCGAGGCGGTGGAGTTGGGGTCGACACGCGGCGGCTGGCTGACAGCCACCGGCAGGCCGGCACTCGCCGCCAATCCGGCCGACAGGGTCGCAGGCTTAGCGGCCAGGTCGGCCATCAGCCACGGCGTCTCACTCTCCCGCCACCGTGGTGAAATGGTCGCTCCGTTGAACCTGTCGACACCCTCGGTCCACATGGCCTTAAGGCCATGCGGGCAAAGCAGGCCGTGCTCCAGCTGCCGCAAGCAAGTGCAGAGGAAGAACCCGTCGGGCCCAAGAGCGACGAGGTGGCCGAATTCAGACGGCGGAGTGATCATGCTGACGCGCACCACCGAGTTGACGTTCTGGTCCCGGAGTAGGTGAGCAAAGTGGGGCACGGATGTGCGGGACACCATGGAGACGCCAGCGGCTCCGGTAGTTGCTTGTAAAGGGTCGATCAGGTCTCCGGAGGAGGTGTCGTACCAGAGTTTCGCCTTGTCTGCGTCGGCCACCAGCTCGTCGAGCAGTAGCCGCGCTTCATCTTCACCTCTGACCAGGCACGTGGCGTTGTAACCGAGAGCGGCGACGACCTGTGCCTCTGTGTCCTGCCAGTAATGGTATACCCAAAGGGCGTTGCGCGAGGAGGAGGAGGGTGCGGTAGGAACTTGAGGGCTCGCACCCAAGAATCGGGGAAGAAGGCATGTAGCCCGCGCCCTGTTCGGCATGTGAAAGGGCACCCCTTCTTTTGATGAGGGAGACAATGAGGATTTCACGCCATCGGCGCAACATCGACACAGGCAACCTGCTGGGCGCCACTGCAGCACTGCTGGTCCACTACGCGTCTACCCACGGGTGCAACCCACGACGAACCCACGACTACCACAACTGACCTTGATTGCGTGCGTGCTACTCCGCTCGTGCTTCACCGCGTCCACGACAAAGCTGAAATGCTTAAGGAGTCCGCGCTTGACGTTCTCCATGCTAGACATGCTCGACAACGGCGCTCGGGGGAGCCTTCCTCCGTCGCTCTTCCTACAAAACGGCGCAACAACGAGCAGCAGCAACGAAATAAGTCAGCCAAACGAGTCACAACCGCCATGATGACAAGAGCATATTGTCATGGGTACTGGGGGCTCGAACCAAAGAGTGCACGTGTGGACCACAGAAGGTCGGGCGGCAAAAGCATCGCACAAGCAAAGCTCACTCTATTCCAACACGTGAACGGCGATGGTTTCTCTGCTTCAGGTGCTTCAGGTGCACCTGGTGAGCGCTCGCCGCACGGTTAATTTTTTGCCATTTCTTGTCGTCGACCGAACTCCGACACATAATGGGTGGATGCTAACGGCTGAGGTCTTCGTTTGGAAGCGCTACAACCTTCCTCTTGGGGAAAACACGAGCCAAGCACCACGCAACACGTCTAAATCTGTCCGCCACAGAAACACACGTCGACGTCGCTGGACACTCACCTCTTTGTTTTGTTTGCGTCGTCCTGAACTTTGCCCATGAGCGCTCGGTTGAGCTCCACCATGGTGCCTGACCTCGTGACCAACCTCTTCACCGCACTATTCATGGCCTCCACTCGCTGCGTGGAGCAGATGCCGAGGGTGTGAAGCCCAGGGTGGACGCATGACGCCCACTTCTCAACCCGCCTGCTTCAAGTGACGGATCGGCTCAACGTTAGGACACATACAGAGGATGCAATCTTTCGTCCAAGAAGTGGGAGCAACATACTACTCGTCCGTTCCCTACGTCCTGCCATGTCACACGCTGCTTACCCTTTGCCGAAGATGTTGTTTGCCATGTAGTTGTACATTTTGCTCTCTCGGGGCAAGAAGGCCAGGAGCTCTGTCTTAGCTTGCAGAAAATACTGTAACAGCAACAAGCGGAGCGCGACGGGACGAAATAGCGTGGGCGAGAGGAAGCGCGCGCGGTGATTTGCTCTATCAGAAGACAACAAGTAAGGACGGCCGGCGATTCCCCTGTTTCCAAACTCAGGGCACTGGCTACGGTTCCCAGCTTTCAATTTCCTCCAGCTCTGGGCAGCGTTTCACAACAAGGCCGATCTTCAAGTCCGTCACCCGTGGGCATCGACAAGCAAATCTTAAAACCTAGCACGCGTGGGGATCGACGAGTACGTCGTACAAAAGGCGCGCGCGCCGTAGACAACTGCTTACCTCCACCGTTTGCGCGAACGCCGCTTTCCTGAACTTGCGGATCACTTCGGAGAGGACACCCTCCCCAAGCCCCCCCCCATGCTCCCGGATGTTCCCGTACGTATGCCAGATGCACAACTTGTGGACGGTGCCCGGGAAGACAAGCTCGATCGCGTTCGTCTCGGCCGCATCGTTGTCAGAGAAGCACACCTGATGCACCATGGGAGCACCCGACGACAGGCAAATGTTGTGATAAGGCGTTGTTGAACTTATTCCTTGGAGTCCACGTGAAGTTGGGCACGATGGAACATCAACAATAAATATTCTCTTCGACAACGCTCAACACAAATGGTTCAATTGTTTCACCTTTGGGCTTCCTCCTTCGCAGAGCTCCTTCAACGACTCGTACACGAATTGGAAGGATTCCTGCCGCTCGTTCGACAGCAGGGCTTGCATCACAATCTGGCTGTGGTTCTCGTGGTCAACGACGACGACCAGAGCGAGGGAGAACTTGTACCTGGTGGGAGGAGGATGCCGTCGTCCAGCACAACAGGCGGAAATGGTGGGCGTGTGTGGGTGACAAAGTGGCGGGCAAAACAACAAGCGACCACTTGGTCTCCAACGGTATCGCTCCGAGGATAGTATACAGACGCCAACGGATTGGACCATGCAGAATGCCAACACGCACCGGTTCGTATTGAACGTAGTGTCCGTGATGATGACGGAGTGGAAGCGCACCGCGGCGGCCTTCTGCACGTCAGACGCCCAGGCGATGCTCGTAATGCGGCTCTGGTTGTCTGCCCTGAACCAAAGGTGAGCCTTGCTTCGCTGCAGGTGCGCCAGGAACTCCTGGGCGTCGTTGAAGGCTTCTCTTGAGTCCTCTAGATGCTTTTCAACGATGCATCGCACCTGCCGTCCACGTGCATGCACCACCCAACATGGAACATGGATTTTGCATCAGCACTTCAACGGCAACATCCGGGCGGAAGCACACGCAAGATATCATGCCGACATCGTCGTTGATGCAACAAGGAGAATTTCAAGAGTTCTGTCGTCGGCCCTCTTCTCGCTCCACGTCCGGTCTACGCCAACTCGACACTCACCAACGCTTTCCCTTCACGGCCCAGCCTCTTCCCGCTCTTCTGTTGAACAGTCTTGTGGAGATCTACCGTCTTCACGCCTGAATCAGCAAGATCGATGATGAAGTCGGACATCTCGTAAATGTCCTGGCGAGACATCTCGTTGTCGAACGTTGTTGGGGGCGCGTGCTCCTTTCCGTTTGAAGTCGGCGTGTGGTGCGTAAGGCACATGCCTCCCTGCGCCACGGGGCGTCGGGGGACAAGCGAACGAGTGCGGAATGTGAACAAACCTAAAGCTCGCGGCCCCGCTCCCACATCCCTGGCACCACGGGCAACCCGCGAAGGAATCTTACTTGCGGTCGGCTCTAGCGCCTGTCCACCTCAACGCATCAACTCCAAGGTACCGTATGGTCACGAGTCGATTTACTTCCGCCAACGCAGATAAGCTCGCCTTTCCGACGACTGGTGCGTCTTGTCGGGCGCCCCACCACAGGACCGTTTTGAAGTTGCAGCCCACCTACGATCCGCACACGAGGGGAGGGGGGGGGGGCGCAACAAAGATAGGGAAACCAGCTTGTCTGTCCGCGTGGAAAACCATGACCGTTGTTTTGTTGTGGTGCTTTTCCCGACGTTCAGAAACACACAAACTACTCATCTGGCGTTTCATCGCCGATACGAGACTTCACGAAAACAACAGGCGCCTGGCGCGTATTTAGACCCTGCCTCGTTTTCCTGCGCTCTTCTCGCCGTGGAACACAACCCGCGACAGTACGAAACTGCCGGATGAAAATGTCGTATTGCAGCGCGTGAAACGTGCACGTGCACTGAAACTCCACGTGCACTGAAACGTGCACGGGCCGTGCGGAAAAACTTGCAATACGCCGTGCTGGGACCACAGATCAAAACCAAAAGCGGCAAAATACCACGGCTTTTTCGCTGTCCGTACCGGTTTAAATGCTCGACATGATTTGGGTAGGAAAGAATGGAACAACCGCTTGAAAATGGGGACGTCACAGCGAGCAAAGAAGCAGGCGCACACGATCGCCCTCGAAGGGAAAGCCACTAGTGGTGCTTCCGCCCCTCGCACGCGTTTCATTTGAGGGACTGCGAAGCGCAAGCGCGGGGGTGCCTTCACCGCATGTTAAGGAATATTGAATCAGTTGGTATCACCTTGGACGAAGACGTCTTCCTGCGACTCTCCTCGTTCGCAACCCGTTCACGTACTCTCGGCTGTCCATGTTGGACGCACTGGATCCACACACAGTTCCATCTGTTGAGCTTCCCGCTATTCTTTGCCTGTTGGACTGACATGATCTGGGGGGCGGGGGCGGCGGCACAATCGATAGTTGTAGGGTGGGCGGCATTTGTCACGTTGGACAACCCGAAAAAACCGAGTGTACTCGTGCGTCGCAAACATATTACCATCCTCCACCCTCACAGCAAATACAACATGTACGCCAGCGAACGCGAAGCGCCGCTGCTATCGAAAACCCCATGTGTGCCAAGTAGGTCTTACCCTGGATTTGCTGACTCTCGTCACTTCGAAACCACGGGTGAATCCGGGCACAGCTTTCACCATCTCCACCGCCTTGTTCAGGGTCTTCTCGCCATACTCGCCGGTCCCGTCTTCCAAGTTGGGAAAAACTAACTCCCTGACCTGCTTCTCAATGGACGCTATCTCCCCTGCACAGGTCAACGTCACACGAATCCGGGTTGCAGAGTGTGCGGCACATTGAGGGTGGTGTCAACTTGAGTGGGGCTGGCGTTTTGAAAGAAGCTGATACAACAGAGTAGTGGTAAGTGGCTCCTTCACAGCCACGTCAAAATCCAATACCGCCAAGCGTTGGGGCGTGTACATGCTCGTCTCCTTGCGGTGCGAACGGACAGGGACGGACGGGAAACACAGAGCGCATTGCAACAAACGCGTGCTCGTATGGCCGCACGCATCATACACCGTCATACCTGGCGATGGCCCCGGCAGGTCAGCGTCGGCTGGAGCTGGAGCTGGAGCTGGAGCTGGAGCTGGAGCTGGAGCTGGACCCGGAGCTGGAGCCGGAGCTGGAGCGGGAGCGGGAGTGGGAGTGTCATCGGCCGACAATCCAGGAGCTGCGCCGCTACTCGAGGCGATGGTGTCACCGCCAGCTTCACTTTCACCACCACCAACGTCTATCATGATTCCCTCCCCCTCCCCATCAGGACCATGTGTCTCCGTGGAGGTCCCGCTCGAACACATGAGAGCCGCCAGCGGCGAAGGGCTTGGGCCGGCTACGCGACAAGGAGCTACGCCTGCGCTGGCAGCTGCTCTAACCGCAGCTGGAGGGGGAGCAGCAGCGAAAGCCGCAGAGGAATCAGCCTCCATCCTGCAGTCTTGCACGGTCTTGCACGGAGAGGCTCGTGTGAGTCCGACAGGGTAAGCAGCGCTCAAGAGATCGCTGCCGGTTGGTGCTCTGTTCGTGTGTGCGCTGGACAAATTTCAAAATGGGTCTGTAAGTAGTTCTGGAGGCGTTTTCACTTTTTCACCGCTTGCACAGAAATTCTGTGCGCAAGCACTGGTGGATTTACGCGCGGGTGGACCTCATCTGGGGAGCTCCATGAAACCATCACCAGTGTACAGGGGGCTACGGAGATTGAAAACACCCTCTCGTTTTCCCCCAGTCACTGCTGGAATAACTTCAACATATCCGACTGCTGTACTACTGCTGTAGAGGTATTATCTCCAATGGATAATCTTTCGCTGATGTTTGTATGTTTTCTAAGACCAACTATTGTCGTCGTTGACTTTCCTGATACACAACAACGACCCATGACATCATCCCACATGTATGTGTGCAGAATCCGTTGATGTAAACTGGTGTTGAATGTTTATTACCGATCCTCGCGGAAATATACAGCTAAACAGCGAGGCCTCTCCTCTCGTGCAATGAACATACGCAACCACGCTCCGAAGAGCTTAGCACATACCTGGAGAGGTGGGCGGGCCTATTTATGGGCGGGGAGTCAACACCTACGTATCATATCCCAGGTGATCGTTTTCGAAAAATCCTACCATGAGCATCACGTGGTTGGTTCCCCGTATATAGCGCCCGTCGCTTTTGGCGTGCGGTCCTGCTCGTCCCTGACGAGAAACAGGCCTTTACATTATTGAAGTTTTTTGTTGGGTTCACGCTTTGAGACATTCAGCAACACACCAATCACGCGAACACATCGTGCATGGCGGGCGCGTGACTGCCGGACCAACCAACCAGCAACTCCAGGTTAGCTCTTTGGGAAATAAAGTCTCAGCACCGCGCCGTGTGTGTCCGTCCATTCGCACGTAAATGTGTGTTACGTGTTGGCTGTGTTGCCCCATGCAATGCAATCACGTGCACAAGGAACTTCATGCAAAATCAGCACACATACACAGGAACACGGGCAACAAACTACCCAAGCTTGTTTCTTGTGAGAGGAATAACCATGTAAGCACGTTACGTATGGTGAACCTTAGCAGCTTCCTCCGACGGAAAAACACACGGCGGGGTCTGCCCGCAACAGGCATCACGTCCATTGAGCCACACCTATCGCACACCCCAAGAACACCAAACTGGCAGAACGCATGTTGGGTTTAAATCATGGAGAATACAAGGCATGCAAATCCAGCAACTGCCCACACCTTTCTACCCACTTGTGTTTCTCGTTTGGCAACAAACGTGTCTGGCGATTACCCACCCTATACCTCTCGCCCGCGCAAAACATCCAAACCACGACCAGGGATACAAGCGTTGGGACAACGCCCCCGTCCCCCGGGCCCCTCCGACACCCAACAAAAGCTGTGGCGCCAAACATGGCTTCTTGTCAACGCCCGAAAGCACACCAAGCCATCCGTCCCTAGGCAAATGTGCCTCTCCTCTTCTCCCTCCTTTGCCCGCACAATCGCCTTGATAGGCCTATCCCCGCCGACCATGAATGGCGAAGTATGCGTCATGAAGCTCCTTTTCAAGGCGTCGGCACATGGAGAAATTCATTTGTGACTTGTCCATGCATTTCCGGTACTCTTCGAATTCTGACGGGCACTTGGACAACATGGTCGACAGCCTGTATCACAGCCGCCGGATTTGGGAAGTGGGAAGCGGGAGAGGGGGGGGGGGGGGGGGGGGGGGGGGGGGTGTACTCATAGTCGTGCATGTCGTAGTCGTTAGACCATTGACCTCGCATCCCTACAAAGCCGGGACGGAG